GGACCCCTGGCCCAGGCTGCCCAGGGAGGTTGTGGAGTCTCCTTCTCTGGAGATATTCAAGACCCGCCTGGACAAGATTCTGTGCAGCCTGCTGTGGGTGACCCTGCTTGGGCAGGAGGGTTGGACTGGGGGACCCACAGAGGTCCCTTCCAACCCCTATTATTCTGTGATTCTGCTAATTCCTCACCGAATGCTCAGAGTTGTCGCTGATTTGGGTCGAATTCAGCAGCCGGTGGAACTGTGACCTCGTGCGGACGAATCCTAAAGGTTTGGCGTATTTACCAGCTGCCTAGCGTGGCCGTTTTCAGCAGCAGCCGCCTCGGAGCGGGTTTCGTTACTACGGCGGCGAAATCCCTCGGTCTTCTGTTTCAATTAGCGCTTCGTGCTCGCGTCGCTGCTGGTGGAGGCTTGCCAGAGGTGGGAGCTGCCGAAACGCGGACACCCGCTCAGCGATGGCGGGCAGAGCCGCTCGGGCGAGCGTGGTTTACGCTTGTTACGTTAGGCTTGAGAACTGATTGTTTGGATTTTTAATTTCTCTGGTGCTTTTTCCCTAAAACCTTCTAGATACGCGATGGGTGCAGAGGAATTCACATTTTTGCAGGTCTCTCTTCTTCGCAAATGCGCTGTGTTCTCATCGGAGATCTGAAATAGGCGTTTCCAGTATCAGTCTGGTTTTCCAGCTCTTTAAACGTAAACTGTGCTGGTGTGGGCTTTGAGGTCGGATCATAGTTTGGTAGGATTTTAGCACCGAGAATTGGTAGAAAACGTGTTTTCTGCAGCAGGGGTTTTGCATCGCTGTCAGCAGGCGCTCTGCTCTGGATGTTCCGATGGCTGGTTTCCACCAAAATGTGGTATCTGAACTGGAACAGCCGAGCTGCTGTCTGGGAACGTCCTTCAAGCCCATACAGTAACACAAAGACCTACACCGACCTCTGTGTCTTTAAAAAGAAAGCCCCATAAACACGCAAACCCAAACATCTTAAATGGGTTCCTCTAAGAATATTATTTTTTTAAATAATGAGGGAGTGCAGTCGAAACCTCTGCGGAAAGAAATGCAAACTAATAAATGGATTTGTTTGAACACCAGATGTGTTTCATGTGGATTCTTCAGTGGCTTCTGTGGTATTTTGGTACTTGGAAGAATGATTTTGGAGGCGGTTACGGGGGTGGAAGGACAAAATAGGAGAGCGAAGGCTGGTGCCGCTCCGTCCTCGGGAGGGGAGCGGGCTCCCGGGGCGATACCGCACCGCGGGAGGGGTCCCCCCTTCTCCCGGGTTTTGGCTTTGCGAGCGAAACATCTGCCGGAGGGAAAACGCCCTCCGGTTCCTCCTCTAGAAAGTTTATTTGTGGATGTTTTGTTGCTCTTTCAGTGCTGGCAGTGAGGATCGTGGTTTTCAGGTGAGAGCGTAAACCGAGGCTCCAAGGGAGTTTGTAGGCCAAGTCCCTCGAGCGTGGCGCTTTTATGCGCTGCCGTCAGCCGTTTAACGGGATAAAAGCGGTTGCTGGGACTTGGGCAGGACTTCACTGTGGTTGCCAAGCTTAGTGTCTCCCGCTTTTAAACCCCTCTGAGTTTAGTACGTTGGTGCTGAGGGCTCAGCTGCTATCTGAGTAGGCTCTGACGGCTGATACCCCGTCACCGACGACGTCCAAGTCCGTCTTCCCCCATCTTTCAGCAACAGGACGATCCGCTCTGCTCCAGTCCGGGCCAGAATCGCTCCAAAGAAACGTGCTGGGCCGTAAGCCAGACCCCAGCCATCAGTTCTTACATTTCAAAATGGCAGCACTTAGGTAGCAGCCCAGTAATAACCAGCTCCCGGCGGCAAGACGCATCGGGCTGGGCACCGTGAGCAGCGATAGAGATGGTTAAATTTGGCCGGGGAAAACAAAAAGAGATGCTCTGAGGTGTATCCGTGTCGACACAGGAAAAAACTTGAAGCCTGTTTAGCCTTCGCGGGAGCGTTTCGGAGCATCGCCGGCCCCGGTCGGAACGCTCTCCGTCCTTACCGCGACGCTTTCATCTGCGGCTCCGTCGCTGTTCCGCGCCGCGAAGCGCGGAGCGATTTGGGGGGTTGTTTCCCAGAACCTTTTACTTCTGCGGTGATTATGGCTTTGTATAAAACTGCATTGAAGTATGATTATTTTTTTGGGGGGGGGGGAGCACCCTTTCTTACGTAGGAATCGCTTCTGTAAATGTTCGCCGAGGCCACGTTGTTCCCGGGGTTCCAAACACCGCCGGCGTTTTCCCTGCGTGCTGCACGTCTCAAGGTCCAGCTCCTTTTTCTTTAAAGGTTAAATAGCTTGGCTGTAGCAATTGATTTAGCAGTTTAATTTCCCAGCCCTACGCACGTATCGTAGGGCCACAATCTGAGCTGCGCAGCAGGGGGAGTTGTATATTTATAATATTGCGTATATTTTTCTAATTGGTGTTCACTCTGATAACGCTGAGTATTTATTTGCCGAGGTACTTAAGTTTGCTGTTTGGGTTTCAGACTCGAGCTCTTTTTCTTGGCAGTGGAAACCTGTTTTGTGGGGCTGCCTGGATGGAGAAAGGGACTTGGGAGTCAGGTCATCGGATCAGCGTTGATGGAGGGGGGAAGGGGGTAACTGAGCGCTTGTTTTGGATGTTTTTGGCTGTCTGTTGGGATTAAATAATGCTCAATCCTTTTCTTAACGTCAGGACGATCCAAAAATATACATAAAGCTCAGTTGGCACGCTGCCTGACTGTTGTGGCAGTGAATGACACGCGGTAAAGTACTTAAAAAATTGCATTTTCTCGAGGCGAGCGGTGGAAAGCAGCTCTGGGCAACCCCGCTTCGTCTCATGTCCCGTCTGCAGGTGTTTCACCAAAACCAACGGCACTTTCGGCGGCGCCGCCCTCCCCGTCGTGCCCATCGTAGCACCTTACCAGCAGGAGGGTTTGGAGATGAAACCCCTGAATCACCACGTCATGGTGGCCATGTGCTTGGCCTCCGCCGTCCCAGAGTGCGGCGCCCGGCTGGAGGAGGACGGCAAGGAGAGAGCGGAGCAGCCCTCGGCCCAGCATCCCTGCTGTCGGGAAGGCGTGACCCGGCTCTCCGCGGACGGTAAGGCGTTGGGGAGAGGATGGCGTTGGGGAGAGGATGGCGCCCGGCTTCGAAGCCGGGAACGTTCTGCGGGACAGCTGCAGGGCGCTTAATTTATGGAGGAGAAGCCAGTAATTAGGGTCGCAACAGACCTGGCTTTCTGGAGAGGGATGAAGCGCCCTGCCTTCATGGAAAGACGGGAGCGGCAACGCTCGGGTGCCTGTGGCTGTCGTGACCGACGCCTCTAAACGCAGCTCATGGAGCAGGCACGCTCCGGGTAACGAGGTTGTGACTGATTTATGATGGCTGGCGGTTGGCCGGCACCTACGGCGTACTCGTGGTCTCCCAAAACTGCTGAAATCCTGCTTTAATCACAGAATCCCAGCATGGTCGGGGTTGGCAGGGACCTCTGTGGGTCACCCAGCCCAACCCCCTGCCCAAGCAGGGTCACCCAGAGCAGGCTGCACAGCACCGCG